AGCGATCTGATAATTATGATTCAAGTGTTCAGAATAATGCACCAGTTTGACAATCTTCAAGAACAACACTTCCTCAGAATAACAAAGTGCAGTCGCATCCTAGCTAAAATGCCGGAAGACACTAACGAAAAACTCATTCAGGCAGAGAATAATCAATGTGTGGAATGGTCTTGTTGTGGAGAGTACCACTAATAATCGCTTCAAATCTGGACTCGAAAACTGGTTGAAAGATGACCCAGATGATTATGATGACAACCCCAACCAAAGGAAACCATGGATAGGAACAACAGTCTAAAGACTGAATAATCCTGGATCAAGTGAGTTCCAAGTGAATTTATGACCCCTTCCCTCCACCCAGCCGTTTTTAGGCTGGTTTAGCATTAGGGTTAGGGTTCGAGATAGTGTTTGGTCCACGGTTGAAGTTAGAAATTTGCTTCAGTCTAGAAAATTGGCTCCGGAGCAATCGTAACACTTATAAATCCAGTATACAAACCTGACAGCCTATGGTTGGTCGAGTTGGCGGCGAAGAACGTAAAGCGCCAGTTACGATCCCCTACGACGTAACCCGTTTCGACAAAAGTGCCAATTCGGATCTTTGCTGAGATGGTGATCATGTTTTTCTTTACGTTAATCCGTTTGTCCGCAGGATCGGTGAGCGTTACGCGATCTATGGCGAGATTTACTTCAGGAACTGTCAGATAAGAAATGCAAAGATTTTGCGAATGACATATTATGCAGGCCTTCTCAACTGGCGGCGCGCGCGCCACTCGTGGCGCTTGCGGTCAGTCAGAGTGGCGCGCGGCTGTTCCAAAAAATTAATAAAAATTAAAAATTAAAAATTAGAGAAAGAACAACATTAAAAAATTATATTTTAAAATAAAAAAACTCAGAAAAATTAAAAGTCGCAGTCGAAGTTGAGCCCAAAATGTAAGCAAGCCATTTTGTTTGTTTGATTTTCACTTCATTTTGACATTTTCCGTGTTTATTGCACTAAAATAACTACATATAAATTAACTTCCAGTGTAGATTTTAGCCAGGAATTGTACTAATTATTTTACATCATTATGAAATTATGATTGATGTTTTATGGAACAAAAAGGTGTTAAAAATGCCACCTCTTGGCCTAAATAAAAGCCCTAAAATCCACTAGCTTCCGGAGGCTTTGCCCCCTGGACCCCGGCCGGTATCGGCTCGGTCGCTACGCTCCCTCGTAACACAGTCACCAAACCTACAGGTTGGCACTTCAACCTCAATTCATTTTTGGGGGGGCGCTTCTAATAAACTAGTTGAGAAGGCCTGCCTTATAGCCTTTCTAAAGTGTTGGGAGCTCCAACAAATATTGATGGCAAAATGTAACCTAAATTGTATATTGATGTGAAAGAGGATGTCACTTAGCACAAACTTTCATATTAAAGGTACTATGTCCCTTTTGCAGCCAACCTCAAATTCTGTAGAACTTTGCAGGAATTTTGAATATGTCATGTATGTCCTATCTGTGAAATTTAAACGTTAGCAGTATCCTAATATTCAAACTATATGCAAGGAAACCCGTTCACTTGCTAGACTTCACTGTCAGACACTATTGAGTGACTGACTGGCCTTTTTTCTTCTTTGGTAATAACACACATGAAAAGAGTTGTAAAGGGTACATGAGCATTTGTCTACATCAATAACCCACTTCTTGTGATGGCCAAGATTAAACTGATTGAATCTTTGTGCAGCATAAAACGTATGACCATTCGGTACAATTGTCTGAAAATCAAGACTATTACTTTTGGGCTCTATAGCCCTAAAGTCGATTTGACAACTAATAGTCATTATTTTCCCACTTGAAGACATTTTCAAGCCCCACCATTTTTAGGGAAGTTCTAAATTAGTATTATCTTTCAAATGCAGTTGGAATTTAAATTTTTCATTTTGTTGGCCTGCAAATGGGACATAGTACCTTTAATATTAATAATACTTAGTTTTTAAGCGCTTCCAAACTTAAAGGGGAAGTCCACCCTGAAATTAAGTTAGTTTTAATAGGAGTAGAAAAATGAGAGAAACAAGTCAGTGAAAGTTTGAGCAAATTACGATTAAAAATAAGGAAGTTAGGATTTTTGAAGTTGTGATCAATCAAACACAAATTGGCAACTCTATGACGTATCATGCGAGCTCAACTTCCATTTGCTCAGTACTAAAAAAATCTAAAATTTTCATTTTCCCTCAAGAAAAATTTCAACCATACATGCACCCTAAATATAATAATTGCAAATATGTTTCTATACTCCCCCTGCAAGGAACAAATATATATTCCGTCATCAATAACGAAGAAAACATGATTTTATGGAATATTATGCACAAAGCAAATGAAGGAGAGCTCGTATAATAAGTCACAGAGTTGCCAATTTGTATTTGATTGATCACAACTTCAATAATTCATAACTTTCTTATTTTCATTCAGAATTTGCTCAAACTTTCACTTACCTGATTTTCTTATTATTCTGCCTCTATCGAAACAAACTTATATTGGGGGTGGACTTTCCCTTTAACGATTATTACCCTGGCTTTAGCTGTGCTGCCAATTACGGCTCTCTAGCATTTCAAAGAATTATTTCCTGCCAGGCAGGCGCGTACGCACGGGGGGGGGGGGGGGGGGGGGTTGGGGGTTAACCCCCCCCCCCCCTCCCCTTTGGTTTTTGTACGTATGTAAACCCCCCCCCCCTAAACCCCCCCCTAAAACCTCCTTTTGTTTTTTGTGTTTTTTTTATTATAAAAAAAAATTTAAAAAATTAAAATTATGCCGATAACTGACCTAAAAAAGATGACCTTACCCCCCCCCCCCCCACGAAGAAAAATGTCAGATATTCAAATTTCGAGACCAAAAAAAAAAGTAGTGTCCACTTACCCCCCCCCCCCCCCCCCCCCCACCTTTTTCAGAACACAATCAATACAATTTCATGAAATCAATGACCTTGACAAAGGCCGGGTTTTTCCTTTTACAAGAGGAAAGAGGGAACTTTCTTTTACAAAAAAACGTTGGCAACGCATCGTAATATCTTACCTTGGGCCGTATAGGTCTCGAACTCGTAGTAAATTCCATTTTCTTCCTCAGCGTGAATTACTGCTGCATCTAAAAATCAAAGATTACCAAAAGAAAATGGATGTCAATGACATGTTTACAATGCAAATAACAATTCAAAGGATATATCTTTATATCTAGTTTAGTCTTTTGAAATTTCAATTACAATTCTATCATTCCGTAAATTCGTTGTGTTTTTTGTTATATGAAATGTAAGTTCATGTTATTTGAATAATCACTGCTGTGACAAATCACCTTTAATAATTGATCCTTTAGAATACTTACCTCCTAAGTTTACCACCAATAAGAGGAAGGAAATCATCACAATACAGGAACATTTGTTCGTCATATTGTCCACGTTATATTTTCCACAAAACAAATTTTAAACATAATTCAGAATCTGTGTATTGAACTACACGTCTTTTCCTCTTAAATTTCTTTCAACCGCCCTCAATCAGTTGTGCATGTGTTCTCCTTGGTCCTAGTAACAATGTGGAACTTATCGGCTCATTTCTGTCCGTTTTTTCTTCATTCTCAACAAACAATCAAACAAGAAAATGTTCAGATTTCTCTCTCAAACGTCGCATATACACCGATAGACCATTCGGTTGCTTTCTGTGATTAAACATTATTAAGGCAATGCCATGACAATAGAGATATTACTATGACTTTATAATATTTACCCAAAAAATCATCAAAGTGAAATATTTCATATCGTCTTCTTCGCTTCCATGGGTACAGAGGTGTGACATCTCGACCTGTTTTGTTTGATTTGAATTTGTTTATTCAAGCCTATTGTTATGATATGACAGCAGTTTACGTGACATTTACAGAAAGAGGCAGAGAAGTTTATTCTTTACACCGTGCCCCTCCAGATCAAATCATCTGTTTAGATGGAACCAGAAGGACATTAACTCATATACTTTAACACAGAGATAACGCCCTTGTGGCTCTTAATAGGTTAATAAACCAGTTACCTTTGTTGAAAAAATAAATAAGTAGTGTTTTGTTTGATTATCAAATATTCTCTACGGTCTTCTAGCCGACAAATCGTTTTCGTTATAAAATGATAATAAGTATTTTGTTTTGTAAAGGTGTACCCCGTGTGATTTTTCTCAAGTCATTTTTTAAAACCATGCTTGCTCTCTCTCTCTCTCTCTCTCTCTCTCTCTCTCTCTCTCTCTCCCTCTCTCTTCTCTTCTCTTCTCTTCCCTTTCCTTCTGTTCTCCCTTCCCGGTCTCTGTCCCCATATAGGTATATTTGTCAGTCCCCTTGATCTGTCTCTCTCGTCCTCCCCACTACTAGATCCATCGATCTTTCTCATTTTAATTTTCATCGCTCTCTCTCTCTCTCTCTCTCTCCTTCTCCTCCTCCTCTCTCTCTCTCTCTCTCTCTCTCTCTCACTGTATATCTCTTTGTCTCTTATATACTCTCTCTTACTTCTTTATTTCTCTCTCTCTCCTCCTCCTCTCTCCTTCTCTCTCTCTCACTCTCTCTCTCTCTCTCTCTCTCTCTCTCACTGTATATCTCTTTGTCTCACACATACTCTCTCTTACACTGTACTTCTTTATCTCTCTCTCTCTCTCTCTCTCTCTCTCTCTGTTCATATCTCTACTTATCTCGTTTTACCTTTCCCGTTTCTTTTGCAACCTTTCTAGGGTTTTTTCGCCATAGGGGCATACTTTTGGATTGCCTAGACCGATGGGAGACATATTTAAGTTAATGTAGAGCAGTCATTAAACACTGGCTTTCCACTAAATGTTTTGTATACCAGGTCACAGTGACCGTCAAATCTGCATGTTTCTTTTTCATGTTGAATCATGTATCCCATAATGCAGAGCGAACGATTACGTGTAATACTACTAGTTTAACAAAAATGCATTTCCAATAAAAACACAATATTGAAGAAAGAAATGAACAAACAAGAGAAAAATCGTATAATTTGTATATAAATATTTTACTAAAAGTATTTTAAAATATATTTTACCAATAGTATTATAAAATATATTCTACAGAAATACCCATATTACGTCAAAAAAAGATGGCACTTGGTTGTACTTTTGACAAACATGATCGTTAAAAAGGCGTTAACAGATACGATAGTAGTTACCAACCAATCTTCCAGGGTAGGCCAGATAATGATTTATATAACATCTTGTAAGCAAAACTAGTAAGCCTCTTTCTCAAGTACACACTTATCTATCCCGAAGAAAGATAAGTATTAAAACACCATGTAATAACTTAGAAAACCTGATAACTAAATTAAAAATTAAAAATTAAAATGGTAAAATGGGTATGATAAAATGAGTATGATAATATTATATGATACTAACAAGACTATATTCTTTATTCCACAGATAGATCATTATTCTCAGAAATACAATGAGACCTACTAAAGCCTGACCAAAATATAAAAATAAGGCAGTTATAAAATTAGTATAAAAATATTTCCTTAAATCTACATTAATGTGATAATTAAGTGTATTTTATTTCCCTCTCAATGAAGAATCATTTGATACACAAAACATGTTGTGTTCATAACTACTCGGCTCTCCGCCTGATAAGTCGAATACAAGGAGAAAGTTTTGATTTATTTTAAATTAAAACATATGATAAAGTGATCAGATCTATAAAAAAAACTTTCAAGAATATTATTAGATGCAATGATACATATTTTAAAGGTTGGCCTTTATACTCCGTAACATTTTATATATTTTACAAATGGTAACCATGATGGTGATAACGGACTTTAGCGAGGGCATGTGGAGCATGTAGAATGGACGGTCTTGTTACACTGCTATGGTAGCATTAAGGTTTAACATTTTCTGTTGCTAAAACCAGCTACCGATTAACCATTTATCAACGATCTACAGTCATAATGCAAGCTTGAATGCGAGGCAACAATTAACATGTCCAAAAACGGGTGAAGGGTATTAAACTGAAGGTGCATGAGACTAAAAGTTCATGAGGCTTTTGTACGTTTATCTTTATAATGGACCACCAGTATCGTGAGTAAGGTTCACGAGAGAGAAAAATTTGGCCTCGCAATCATTCGGTCTTATGGGAATTCGATCTCGTAGACCTTCGGAAATTAAGAACATAGATACGGTCTTTTAAATCTTCTGTTTTATTAACCATAGGCCCTGTGAATCTTTGATCTTGAGTAACTTACGTTTGCTGTTCATGAATTTTTGGCCTCGTGAACCTCGGTAAATTCGGGCTCTAGAACTTTTCACTTAGTAAACCCTCGGTCTTTCGAAACCTCGACCTATTGAACTTTTTGGTCTTGATAACCTCGGCCTCGTGAACGATCAGCCATCTGTATCTTCGGTCTCGAGAACCATTGTCCCTGTGAACCTTAGCTCTTTTGAAACGTTCAGTCAACTTGAAAATGTCTGTACAAACTGATGCTTGCGATGAACACATTCGTATGTGGGTTATCTGCATGCTCCAAATGTAATACTTATTACTTAACTGAGGTTGTCCAACCTGTTCGAAACCCCTTAAAGTTTTCAAAAATGACATTAATATGATATAGGGAATTACAATGATTAACACTAACTGAAATACAAATGTAAAAAATAGTCTAAATAACATGAAAGGCTACGTTAACGCATCTGACATTCAGTTACTTTAATTTGTTACATGTATGATTGCTAATGTAAAACTACAGGCACACGTTGTGGCAATTTTATGGCGAATAGTCTCATTGGTCCACTCATGAGCAGAATGCATACATATTCAATGCTAACGTGTGGGTTTGTCCCTTTTCCTCTTCCTTTTCCGGCAGAATAGTCCCTCCCAACATTTCACAAAGACGTTGTCGAACCACCTCTTCATATTGTTGAGCGTGAAGGATTCGACGGCGAATGAGAGGAAGGCTGAGAGCATGAGCATACCAAGGATCATCGTTGTGATGGATACCAAAGTGGCGGACGTCTTCTGCTGCTGCGTCAGGGTTTGGCCTCTCGTGTAATAGAACATGTCCCCGAACCCTACCGTCAAGATGGTGATGACGTCGAAATAGAGGGAGTCAATGAAAGACCAATTCATTGGCACAAAGTTGGAATAATAAATCATGAGGGACGTCGAGCAGAGGTACGAGACAAAGAAAAGTGCGACGAACCATATCGGTACACCCGTTTCCTTGTTCCCTGAAGCGTTATCTCCTTCATCGGAGTTACTATTGCTGTTGTTTTCGTTGATTTCATTGTCCGAGACAACCGGACCATCGTCCTCCACCCCTGTCATGGTCGTGTCGCTCCTTTCGGATCCGTGATCGCCATGATTCACGGATCCGTTTACCAGGTCTCGCATCTGAGAAATGTGAGTAACGTGTTCCATTGACGGGTGTTCCCACTCTTTCTCGCTATCACCTCCTCCAGAGCTGTCCGTTTTGTTATTACCTCCGCTCAGCTTTGCCGTAGAGCGGTTCTGCGACAGCAACAAGCCGTTTTGCCTCGGTCTAATCGCGAGCTGGTGGGCGCCATTCATTTGTATTTCCGTATCAGAGTCCGAATGTTCCACGGCTCCGTTGATAAAACTGGAATTTCGTTTGTTCTTCCCCTTTTCCGCATTGTGGTTACACTGCTTTGTGGCGTTGATCCGGGTGGCTCCGATAATGCTCAAGGTGCTGATAGAGCGCGGTGGACGCACATCGACTCGCCTTCCGCGCTTCTCTCGACATGACATGCGGAGGTTGTCGAGGGACTGGTACGTTTTTGTGATGCAGAATACGATTCCTCTCCCAACCCATCCTATAAGGGTGATGTTGAGAGGGATACCAATTATGGCATACAGGAGGCAGAGAAGACGTCCTGTATGAGTCCGAGGAACCAGTAAGCCATAACCTGTGAGACAGTGCAGAAAGAAAACATATCAACATTTAGGAACCAATATTGTACGTTTCGTAGATTGTTTTATCAAATGAGTGAAAGGGTTGATTTAAATAAGGTATCATAATAGGGTATAAAATGTATGTCAACGTTAACTAGGGTTTAAATCGTTTATCATGGTTATGTGCGCGGTTTTATCTCGACTAAACCAATAGTACGCTGCCATTCATAACATAATATAACATTGTAGCTTCAAAAGAAGAATGGAATCGAGGTTTAGAGGTTACAAATACTTTTCATCTCCCTAAAAACTTAAAATGCTCAGTTATTTAACAGCTGGCAATACTACATTGAAGTAAGATCTTCAATACGGTCAGCACAGTTGCTGTCGGTCAGTTATATTTTGTCAAACGTTGAGTCAACGTTGATCCGACGTCAATTTGTCACCGTTGAGCTAACGTTTGCAAGAGGGACGAAAATGCATTGGCCTTACATTATATCTCTAACGTTGGGCCAACGAAAGAGAACACGTTGGCCAAATGTTGGCCAAAATGAGTATAGTTGCACACATCGATGTTTCACTACAATAAAATGAATGGACCATGAATTTAGGTCGTTGTCATAGTTTCTAGCAAATTTGCAAAATAAGCGAACCTCTAAACTTCATAATTATAAAGAGGGAACTGACACTGAGACATCACCTTACACTTTTCTTTGTCGACGAAGTTATTTCATATTGCACCTTGTGGGCCTAACTTGAATATACTTCGTCCGCATTACCACGCAAACAAGCATATATCAGAGCCAACTCGCTTAGCTTACCAATTGTAGAGACCACAGTGAGGCAGAAATGAATACCACCAAGAAAGCTCCATTCAAGGCCCTTATCCTGGTGGATCTCGCGCATTATGGTGTCGGCGAGGTCGTCGATTTGGCAGTCGGTCACGTTCGAACCATTCATCGCCGCGTAATTTGCTCCGCTGATGTTGCACCTCCGTCCCCTCTCCCAGGCCTGTTGGGGGTTTAAACAAAAGTAGCATCGGGTCAAGTTGGGAGTTCTAAACTACATGTAAGTTCGAGCTAAATGGTAGACTAGTTCAGAAATGTATTCAACTTGTAGACATGGATGTCTCATAATCATTCAGAATTAAATTGCTGACAAAGTCTCCTGGGCTGTCAGTCTGTTAAAACTTAGTATGACTTACAGAAGCCCCTTGAGCTGATGACATTGAATGTAGCTCTCGTAGGCTCTAGACATTGAAATGTACGGAGCATTGGTTGAGAACCATGTTCCATTCACATTTTACTTTTTTGGGGGGGGGGGTATTACAATAGACAAGATGGAGGTTACAATTGAGTGTGCTATGTCGGACAAGCATCTGACCAACTCAAGGTGCGTTACATTTACTGCAGACGTCTTACATATGAATCTTCGATAAACATACATTGTCTTATTCGAAGAGTTAGGGGCACATCCTGCCCCTCCCCTCTCCCTTCCCCTATTTTTTCAATTCCTAATCCGGTATACCTTATGTAAAACCCGATACGTGATGGAATAAACAGGAGAAGGTTTCTTTTACCTTATCAAGTATCTGATTCTACAACGAGGTCTTTTAGAGACTTCACACATATGTATGAAAATCACCTCGAAGGCCTCAGACTCAGACATGCAGTTAATATTGGTGTCAATACAGATGTAGATTACAGTTTCGTTTACCACCATAATAATTAATGTCATTGTCATAGGGGTGAAAAGAGATACATGTATCACGTACTTTTCAACAAATTTGAAGTGCGTATGGACTGTTTCATTGAAGTCTGAATCAAGACGATGGTTGAAAAGTTCATACTATTACAGTTTAGGATGATTTGATCTTACATGCAGGCGCGTACGCAGGGGGTGTTTGGGGGTTAAACCCCCCCCCCCCCCTTTGGTATTTTTATGTGTATAAACCCCCCTAAAAAATATTTAAAAAATTTTTAAAAAAATATTCCCATGGCTGACATAAAAAGGAGACCTTACCCCCACCCCCCTCCCCCCCAACGGAGCAAAATGTCAATTTCGAGACCAAAAAAAAAAAAAAAGTGTCCTCTTATTCACCCCCCCCCCCCCCCCCCCCCCCCCCCCCCCCCCGCTTATTCAGCGGCTGGCTGAGTCGAGTGCGAAATTTTCGGCCCGATTTGAAAATGTTAAACCCCCCCCCCCCCCCTTGAAAAAAATCCTGCGTACGCGCCTGCTTACATGTATGTACCCACGGGAGCCACACCATTGCCCATCCTGTGGTCCCTGCAATTATAATTACTCCATCATTGTCAAATACCGATGTTATACACCTTGATCGAGGGCGCGGGGTGGACAAAGGATCTTGTCGAAGTGTTAAACACACGGTGCATGGATTGAAACTCGTTACCTATCGTACGAGAGTCAAGGGTGTTCATACTCCCGCTTGGTATTCAAGTGGGCTCACATAATATCCATGAGTATAGCAGGAAGAAAGGGAAAGATTGCCCAAACGGCATCATGGTAGTTACCTCGATGACAAGATTGGTGAAGTACTCCTTCTCGACTTGCCGCTGAAGCATGAGATGGGGTCCCTCGATGCTAGTGAACATCCAGGCACCGCCACAGAGGTAGAGGACCCAGACTATGGCAGGGAACACCGTGATGGCAACCTGTAATTTAATAATTCAATTAAATTCAAGATTTGTTAAATACAGTCAAACCTGCTTTAGTAACCACCTGTCTACAACAAGCACATTTTTCGTTTCCCTTGAAAAGTTTCTCATTGAAACATGTACTTAAGGAACCTGTCCACAAAGACCATCTGTCTACAAAGACCACATTTGTGTTTCACTTGGGCGGTCGCTGTAGTCAGGTTTGACTGTATATCTTCGCAGCGAGACGGCGTATCTACATGTACATGTATTTGGTATTAATTTTTCCATGATTTAAATAATTCATGAATAGCATTGAATTTAAGATTCAGAATAGGGGAAAACCAGTCTTCAGCTGACAGAGAACAGCTTATCTTCCATGAGATCCTTGATAATACAAAAATAATGCATGCAATTCACAAAATATAACAAGCAAGTAATACTATTAGTATGATAACGTAGAAAATAGCATCAATATGTCTTATATTGTCATGATTGTAAAAAAAAAATGTATTGAATGTACACCATAATAAAGACGGAATACTAGTCTCTAGTATCTAAACAATCTAAATCTACAAAGATGTACGACCACAATCATCCTACACCATGTTATAATAATGAAATGAGAAGGAAGAAGCGAGAGGTGAAAGAATTCCTTGTGCACAGTTCTACAAAATGTATGATACTTAATAATAAGTATGTAGATTGTTCTTGACAGTTTGGATGATCATCGTAAATATATGCAAAGATTCAATACAGACAAGTACACTTAAATACTTATTATGGAAAATATCAATTCATTTTAACCGTCAATTGCGATTATACTTGTGCCATTTCATTAATGTAGGTTTCGAGAGATGGTATGCAAGGGATGACACTATCAGATAAGGTAGAACAATTAAAAGCATACATGATCCATTACGTCTACCTTTCATTTTATAATTGGTTTACATATACATGTAATACTATCTGTTTCTAGAAAACCATAATAAAGACGGAATACTAGTCTCTAAATCAAAGAAGAACTGACATTTTATCTGACGATTGTTTCGGACTTTATTTCGTCAAGGATATAGGGTTGCGGTTGCGAGTTGGGTATTAGTTAGATATAGTGATGGGTCCATGGTTAAAGTTATGGATTCGGTTTGTGTTGGAATTCATCGCGAACCCGGTGTCGTAGGACTATAAGAATCGTACAACCTTACTTCAAAGATATCGTTGTCACTATAACAGGTTAAAGATGATTTCATATTTTTCAGCTCACCTTGAAGCAGCGCCCTCTGGTGGTCTTGGACGGACCTTCGCTCATGGTGATGCCTCCCTTCTCGCTGTCCAGTTTGTCCTTCATCTCTGAAGATACAGAAGAGAGGGATGGTTCGACATCACTACATGATACACGAGTATCCGTTAACATCCGCTAACTTCGGCGACAGGGGCTAAGACGACTCTCCCCTGCAGTGACTGTAAGATATAAGAAAGAATACATGTACGTCGTGTTAAATGGTTTTAAATCAATAATTTTCAGGAATCAAGTATCGACGTCATTATTCAGAGCAGATAAATGAAATGGCTGGTAACTAGGGGTTATAAAGATAAACATGCATTAATTGAAACATAATTATATAGATTAGTAAACAGATCTATTAAAATGCTTCACAATATTAATGTTCCATATGTACATGTACTAGGGTCACTCAGTACAGTAGATCCCTTCAAAAGATCGGTCGAGTCAATGCATACATAGATGATGAACATCCCGTATCAATTACATGGAACTTTATGGATTTCTTGGACTGGTACACAGATGCCGCTGTTTGCAGGATCGGCAAAACTTTCACAAACTCGCAATTAATGAGATACAAATCAAAGTACAATTGCTTCATTTATAATCTAAACAAATTACAGGTCTAGCCCTGGAATAGGCATTTTCGAAGTGTCTGCAATTGTTCCATTGTATTCTAAGTACGTTTAAAATCAAATATAAACAATTTCTGTTAAATAAGTATAATAATCAGTATTAATAGCACGGCCGACTATGACACTTTTGTAGATTCAGTTTGTTAAACTCTCTTGCTAGTGTTTTTTTAAACTCTGATTGTACATGATAGTATGATTTAGTATTCTTTGTTTTGTTCTTTTGCTCGTGTTTCTTCTTTTTTTCCTGTACATGAATATGTGTGTTTTAGGGGTAGGCTTTCATATAAGGAATCCCTCCTTTCTGCCTCTCCCAAATACTGTCATTAATTGCCATTGTTATTTGTTATCACTATCTTGTTTTTTATCATTAAATTCTGTATTTGTATATTTAAAAAAGGGTTTATGACATATGGCTCCGGTTGTCTCATTTTCGCTCGCTGGAACATTGCCAGCACAAACCACTGACCTCTACCTCCTGGACGGATCATCGCCCATTCCCATTCACTATACGTTACGTACTAAAAGACTGTATTGTCTGACCGTTCATGAATATTCATGTTTTTGCTTACCTCTGCAAAATGTTTGCTTTTACTAAATGGAAAAATTACGGTGGGGGTTGGATGAAATGAACTAAATGAACCAAGCATAAGTGATCTATGATAATTCATGCTTCTTATCCTTCGTGCAATGACGAGCTTGCAACCTATTTTGATCATTAAAAGGAAAGAAAGAGAAAAATAAATTTATAAATACACAAGTAAAAAAAAGATCTAATGCGAGGTAATGTGATTTTTTTGTAACTTGCTACCTACTGTATCTATTCATCTAAGAAGCAGCTCTCTTCAAAGTCAAATGAATTATGGATTGGAATAAATACAATACTCGCTTTGGAGGTGTTTTTTTCTTCATGAATTGGTTTCAATGTTAGGCTGCTGACTCTGACGATAGGGGGCGTTGTGAAATGAGACTAAACGGAGCAATATGAAGAGTGTTGAATAAACTTTAAAATTGAATGCACATTTAGGATAATAAAATGGCAGTTCTACCCTTGTATCAAACTCATTTGTATGGAAGCAGAAAACTAAGATAAAAACAGAAACAGCAAAAGTTAAAAATAGATCGGATCGATAATCATGAATGCTTTAAACACGAGATCAATAAGTCTATGGGAATCTTAAACTGGCAGATTGGCAAATCGGTAAATGTAAGTAGATTGTGACGTAGTCGCGGTAACTCTTCCGTTTGTGGTGCACAAAAATATAATCTATTTCTCCTAAGTGTCTTTTAACACATGTTTATGTATAGTGATTCAAACTTTCAAAAATTCGTTGCATTTTCATTTTTATGTCCGATTTCATTCAATTTTTTGCCGGTCTACTTTTCTTAGTTGTCTATATTTCTCTAGAGTAGTTTGCTATCAAGATTGGATTCCCCTTTAATAAGCAAACTGAGATAATTGGTATGAAATAAATCGAGTAAGCCTCTAATTAATGCAAATGGCACGAATCAGACCGTGATCTTATTGGCCCGAATTCACAAAGGAGGTTTGTCGACAAACCGAGGTTTATGTGCGTCATACGACGCGTTTCGACACGTTTTTACAAACCTTGGTTAGTAAAAAAAAAAAAAAAAGGAGGTTTGTCGAAACAAAAGGAGGTTTGTCGACAAACCTCCTTTGTTAATTCGGGCCATTGGGTTTGTCCTCCCTGACAAGAAATCTTTGTAAACGTATGTTTGCTGTTATAAAACTTGAAAGATATTGCAAGATATCACACATTTAGTGAGAAACACTTGGCCTTGTTATTGATATTCACTATCATTTCTTGATGGCTTCATTCGGTTTTGTAATCTTATTTTTGCTCTTCCTCCGCTACTAACGGACATCGGCATCTCCAGAATAGACTGTATGCTGCAAAAGTCCTGAACGCAAGAATGGCCGCCACATAGCCCAGATAAGTGGCAAGCCTCTCTGTTATGTTTTTTCAAACAGGGGAAGACGGTTTATTGATTATAATTCTAAAAACATCTTTTGACAATTGTTGAGAATGCAATACAATTTCTACAATTTGAAATAAATTATTAATGAAGTGATCATTTGACACCAAATTGTACCTCAGAAAAATTACCCTACACAAGAATGCACTACATGTACAGTGCTTGTACATGGAAATTTGAAATGGATAGGAATAGGATGAAATACTTTCGAGTTATTAAGATTGGAATGTATAAAGAGAATAATTGGTCTTCATATCCAGAGCGATATGGGCAGTCAAGCTTGATGAAAGGGCACATTCTGAGAGGAAAGTTACAACCCTTTCCTGATGGAAACTTAAGTCAGTTTTTATATATTGTATAACGTACAGATTTGGTCCATGTTCCATTCATGTGTTGATGATACGGCTACCTTACAGCGTTTTTGTTTCGGGGCAGTCTAACAACCCATTCCGGTGTTGTTGATTTTTCATCTTCGGTTTATGTGTTTATATGTCGAAGCTTGGTAATTCCTGCAGGCAACATTTGGTCCATTACATGTTAATGGGGTATTCGACCCAACTTTGGGGTACTGTTTCTGAGGCTCTGGGGGCGGGGAGGGGGGCTAAACCTGACGGCTATATATATCTACGATCAAGCTGACTATGGCTTAGATGGTCTAGGTAACTAGGAGGGGTCAGATCTTGTCGGTTATCATTTTTATACTTCAGTCACACCGCCAAACCGATTCAAAACCAACCGATTTTCTTTTCTTTTTTGCCATTTGGGGTAATATAATATTCGGGCTGCATGCTGTCGGTCTCGCGTCTGTCTTTTTCATGTGACTTTGGTATTAAATGGGGCAACTATTTCGGAACAGCCTCCCATACCTACTCATAATGTACATGTATTTGAACAAATAATGAGCGTTTTGTCGTTGGATATTGATATTGACACAAAGCGATCTTGGCTGACTGTGTGTTAAAATGTGAATGAGATTTTTTTTGTGTTCTTTGTTTTATTGCGGATTTTTGTCCGTATTATAAATTAATCAATAGTACTATACTCTTTTGTAATTGTTTTGGCATCGCAAAAACGGTGCTGACCTGACTATGGTTTATATTGCTTCGAAACTCTCCATATATGATCAGATCAGTGGCAGACTCGACTAGCACATGTGCTATTTCTAATTTGTGCCCTTTACATGTACATCAACTGCAATATTCTTTGACGAAAGAGATTTGTCTACCTTTTCCAATATTTTCGCTTGATATTATGTTTATTATTGCTTGTAATATTGGTGTTTGTACCATATTGTCTGTCGTATATTTTATCGTTGATGATGAATAAATAAATAAAATCAATAATCAGTTTAAATTTACATTTTTTATGAAGATCTTCCTTTAATCCTTCTCATTCCAGACGCCTTGTAACGTCATGAGTACAACAATATGTTTGTGCTGTTAATCGCACAGATTAGCCTGGGGTTGTTTCGTAAAGTTACGCATGACTTTACGAACGACTTGTATATGAAAAGCCAAATGGGATGCTCAATCAGTATTAAATACATCAACTAAAGTTGAACTGTGCAGGTGAAGTTTAACATTCTTATGATAATAAACATTTTTAATGCAAAGTATATATTTTGCCATAACTTAATTGAGGTTATTGAAAATATCAGAAAAAACTTTGGGCATCCTATCTGGCACTTCATATACAAGTCGTTCATAAAGTCATGCGTAACTTTACAAACAGCTTTATGAAACACCCCTAGGTCTCTGATTTTTCCAATATGACCTCATTTTGAAACCAATTCATGAAGAAAAAAACACTTTCAAAGCGAGAATTGTATTTATTCCAATCCATAATTCATTTGACTTTGAAGAGAGCTGCTTCTTAGATGAATAGATACAGTAGGTAGTAAGTTACAAAAAAAATCACATTACCTCGCATTAGATCTTTTTTTTACTTGTGTATTTATAACATTTATTTTTCTCTTTCTTTCCTTTTAATGATGGCACTGTTGGAAACCGTTAGGAAGTGATTACGATTTTCCTGAATTCCTTTAAAAGTACTTTTATTTTAATAAATCAATGAGATTTGTTTTCTTCTCATAGTATTCTACTACTATTCAAAAAAGTGCTTTGCTAATAAAAAAATTAAAAAAATCCTAAACAGGACATTCGAAAAGATTCATTGAGTATTAAGAATTCAAACGTACGTGTGCTTGAAAACTATAAATATTCTAAGCTGAATGTTCTAGACAAGACACATCTTAAAAGTGGATTACTTTATAGCCGTAGGTGTAATTTTTTAACTGCAAATTCAATTTGACAAAAGAGTGTACATTTTGAGAAAACGCGATGGCTTAGGGGTAAAGCAGTGATCTCAATTTATACACTACATGTAATGCTCTTTGGTAAGGCATTAATCCTCATTAGCAATTCCCTCGGAGATGACTTATATCCGTCGGTCCCTGGTTGCTCATTTACATCTTATATGTACAAGCATGATATTCCTTTTTTAGCAGTCGGGTAAAATAAAATAGATAAGATAAATATAGATGAAACTTTACTCATTGCTCATTCCTTACAATGTGAGAGATGCTGCAAACTGATACATTAAAGAAAGTATAAACCTGACATGCACATACAAAAATAAACAGCTTTTACAAGTTGTCTATTTTTATATGTATATTATTCATTTTTACACTATGTAATGCCATTTTTTGAATAGGGTGGACATGTGGATTTAAAGGGATGGCTTGAGGCTTCAAACCCTGAGTTTTTTGAAAAGTTAGATCCTTTTAATGTGTTAATTTCTTGCCTATTCCTCTTCAATCCTTAAATGACTTTACATGCTACATTGTATAATGATTGTCCAGCAAACGAAAAATCGCATATCTGAGTAGTCATCCGTCATGCTCACCATCATTTAAGTTGTTGGGATTTGTATTTTTGGTATGTAGATCACTACTTGTTTGGCTCGCTAATTCGATGAAACTGGAATAATATAAATTCATATTTGTATAAACATAAAGATAAACATGATATGCAGAATACATAAAATATGGGTACTATTGTAACCCATTTTACAATGATGATTAGTATTTAAACGCAAGGCCTTCAAAACTGTTAAATCGTGTAATTTGCAAGTTTACCTTATTCATATCTAAACATAAGGCTTTAAAAATATTAAATCGAAAGGTTTACCATGTTTTAAGATGTTTGTTTACTTTTTCGATGATAACTACATGTAGTAATGTTTGTATTTTTCAATTATTATAGCCTTTCAAACCGACTAGATCATAAAATTCGTAGGTACATGTATACAGGTGCCTATATACATTTAATAAAAATGATTATTTTTGTGTACAAAGGAATCAATAATTGTTTTAAATATCGACAGATTCTGATACATCTATACATGTAAGTCTGTTAAAAGTTTCATACAAAAATTACGTGTAGTTAAGTAGTTATGATGCAAACCAAAAACGACTAAATTTCATATGATAATAAAGTTAAGAAAATTTTAATGTAAAAGGACCAATTTTAAATAAAATTTTGAAGAGCGATACATGTAGGACTTATGCGGGTGAAATTGTGTTACATGTATCTCTTCTTTTACATTTTTAATTTGACATAGAAAATGTCTTGATTTGTTTGTCTAATGGCTCATCTAAGGCTCAAACACTTATATTTCTTCCTTCTAATTTTTCTTTTAAATATCGACAGACTCTGATACATCTATAAGTCTGTTAAAAGTTTCCTAGCAAAGGCACGTGTTGTTGAGTAGTTATAATGCAAACCCAAAACGCCTAAATTTCATGTGATAATAAAGTTAGGAAGGTTGACATGTAGACAGACCAATTTAAATTATATGTCTTCCTTGTAAATTGAAGAAAATAAAATATCTTATGCTCAATTGAAACAATTGTGTGGGGGATGTCCAAAATAGTTTTTCTCACACGTTACCCCGTCTAAGATTTTACTATATCTGCGCATCATTATTAAATTAACAGCGCTACTAAAGTTTGAATCAGACGAAATATGGACTAAAATGAAACTGTTGATATCAATTTCAGTTCAGAACTGAGCGATACTGGATGAAATCATCTTCAGTATTGAAGGAGGCAGATTATCCAGCAGAATAAGAAGAAGAAGAAGAAGAAATACCCTGGATTAGCCAACATACATGTACATATTGATACAAGGACAGACTCACGAACTTATTTAAATAAACTTTTTGCTTTTACCTTAACTTCTGATAAAAAAAACTGGTATAAACCATCATTTCAGATGGATTTCACTGGCATATCACTATTTTAATGTATCTAGAAGTTTTACACCGTTGTGTAGTTATCTGCAACATCACCTGCTGTCACAGCATATCCCATCCACTTTACCTTAGAAAAGCTGCTTCAGGGAGTATCTCATCAAGGGTCAAAAGAATGGAAAACAAACTTTAACAAATATATTCTCCAAATGATTCCCATCGATATATTTTTCTTAAAAGAATAATCCCGTTTGAGACCTCCAATGTGATGAATAAACATAATAAGCAAAACCATTATTTCACTACGCCATTCGTATACATGCGTGATATTGACATAACAGTCAACTCGTTCGACGAGGTACTGTTTACTAAGTCACTTTAAATCTAGCGAAAAAGAAGCAGAAAACGACAAAACTCGCTGCATTTAATATCATTAGAAAGTAGATTTTCTTTCAAACCGATTAAGATTGAACTCGACTGATAGGCTTACCCAGAAACAGCATGCATTGAAAGTTAATCCTAAAGTATAAGTCCAGTGTATGTATTGGGAACAAAATGGCGTCGCAGTCTTGTACCACTTTCGATACACCGTCCGAACATTCTTTCTATTTTCTTTTGTTGTTGTTGTTACCGGCCTACTTTTACCCCCCTATAGCCGTATGAGGAGTACAAACGGAAAGCTAAAAGCTCCCTATTGAGGATTATCATAGGGGGGTATTCAAGCGATACCAACCCCCTTAGCTACACGCTTTACATGACAAAAGCACTCCGGTTGACGCGCAGTCTTGATGTTTGACCATTGGATCCCACAGAAGAGGGGCTACGGGGCTCATTACTTTAGCACTACCCGAGACTGTGGTGGCTGCTTTCGATTCCTCGGATCGATACGCAGATAGTGGGAGGAGAAAGGCGTAGAGTTTTCGATGATAAGCTTCTTGTTATTGATGTATCCAGGGGCACGGCGATCTATTTGTTTCGGAAACAATTCGGTGATGTCATCGTCGTCGGGATACTACTTATTGTGATGGGCTGATTTAAAAAAACAAGGGTAATAGCATTGTATACACGGTACACGAGTGTGACGAATCAGAAAATGAAGACGTAATGAAACTGAATTATTCCCCCTCCCTCTCTCTTTCACTCTGTCTCTCCCTCTCTCTCTCTCTCTCTCTCTCTCTCTCTCTCTCACTCTCACTCTTTCTTTCTTTCCTTTACACCACCCACAAAAACAGACAGGCTTATCTTTCCTTTCCTCTGGTATTGTATTGACCAATGGGAAACCAGTGCAAATACTCTAACTAGCCATTATCCAAAAAGCTAACAGATATGCAGATCTGAAATGAATTAGAAGTTAGAAGAAAACGAAGAGAGAGGCACTGACAAGCAAGACCAATCTGCCTCCATGTACAAATATGCCACAGAACATTCAAAGACAGACATCACAGCACTGGAAATAATGTCAATCTTAAACAAAACAAACGGAACGGAGAACTTTATCCTTGGACTTATATATATATATATATTATATATATATATATATATATATATATATTTATATATTTATATTCTCATAATCTCTTTCTTTCTTTCATACCCACCCACACAAACACATAGTCAGTTTCAATGCTCTCTTCAGTTCACTTTATACTTTTTCTTTCTTTTTTATACTTACTTATTTCCTAAAATTATGGTCCTTTTTTTTCATATACAAGCAAAGTTTCTCAGCAAGTTCTGTACGTTTTCAATTGTATTTTTTTCTTCAGAACTACTGCTTTCTTTCCTTAATATCTTGTGGCCTTTTTTTCGGCGCAATCTTCAACCACCATACTACATGTATGATAAATAAACTTGAAAATGTGAGGCTAAATTTGGATGTATTAACAAAGCTTTTTTTTTAAACATATCCGCATTTTCGATTGTTATTGTTTGTTGTTGTTTTGTCATTATTGTTTGGTTGTCTTTTATATACTTATATCCTTTAACATTGGGAGGTTGGAAAGAGAGAGGAAAAGGGGGCATGTCGGCGGATGGAAACTGGGGTGATGGGCAGACTTAGGTGTAAAATATTTTAATTTGTATTGTTAAAATGTTTCAAATAATACCTCCAACTGCATATTACATCAAACCAAGCATCATCCATTAACAAATTAAAATGACAATGAAGATGAAACAAGCACCTAAATAACTCATCATGCGGACAAACATATTCACGTTTTTGGCAAAGCTGTTTTATTTAAAAAAAATGATATGAAAATGAAAAGCAAATAAGTATAGACGATTCTGCATTTATAATTTCTTCATGCACAGAGCCCTTTTTTAAAACCTTGACTAAATACAAAAAACACCATGAATATCCGTGTTTATAATGAAGCTTTTCATAAACAAGCAAGAGCTACAGGCCTATCAACTTTAAAAGTTTGAATACTCGAATGCGTGCCTTTCTCTTTTTATGTACAAAGATAATCTCGAACTTTAAATCGAGAAAGGATGTGATGCTCAAATATAAACTCATTTATAGAGCCACTGATGAATAAATCTCTTTGTATATCATCGAACAAATAAAGTTATTATTAAGAAAACGCACGATTGTGCACACAGTGTGTGCGGGCAAGCACTGAATCCAATGACCGGGGTAATAGTATATATTTGTAAAGCGCTTAGAGACATTTGTATTAAGCGCTATATCAAAATCAAATATTATTATTATTATTATTATCGTAAAGGCTTTCGGAAATTCAACCAAAGGCATTTGCAATAGCCTTCTTCGTTAACGTTACCCATAATAAAATTACGAGAATTTCGAGAATGACATATTCCGGCACTTCATCAGAAGCTCTTTGAGATATGCAATATGATAATGGTACGGTAATTGACCTTGAATAGATTTTTCGAAAGTCTTTGCGATCGTGTCGAAATTAAACTGGATAATTACAGTGACCTCCCACCTTCTTCAAAATGATGATGGTGATGGTTTGATATTGACATCCACATTCGGCTCTAATCCTTTTTTAAATTCGTCGGTATACATTGTATACAATTTTTGTACAGCATAAATCGTGCTTGACTTCTGGATATTAAGTAAAAATACATGTGGTTAAACTGCACTGACTTTTTTCCAAACTTGACTCAAAACAATCGCAAGTATTTTCGAAAAATCAACTAAGGGCGATTTCAAGACCCTATTGTATAACCAATAGAAATAATGCGCGAATAAAATAATACATTTCAATAGGTGACGAACAAAGCTATTAAAATTGCATTACATTGATTTTTCGAAAGTAGTCGCGATCGTATTACTCAAAGATTAAAGGCACTATGGTAGCTTAAAGTGAAAGAAAAAAAGATGGGAGAGTAGGAAAGAAATGATTGCATAATTACCATCTAACAAATTTTATCTCATTGATTTCAGTAGACATTTCACATAAGACACTTTTTTCACGAAGAAATTACATGATATAAAACTGAATCTTTTTAACTACAAGCCAATAGTTGTAGAATAGTTCAACCATTACCCAACGAGTATTACTGAATATATTTTCGCACTTGAAATTACTAAAGAGTATCTTTGCAGATAAAATTGCACTTAACATGTCAGCTATTAGTAAGTCTAATAGAAAGTATCATTAATATAATGATTGGTACCATACCAGAAAGCTATTTTTTTTAAATTATTATATCTGATATGATTGTTCTTGATAAATAAAATAAAACCAAATTCCCATCAAATTATTGTAAATGACTAGAGAGTAGCTATCAAAATATTTCAAAATCAATAGCAATTATTCTATACTATTACAGTTATATTTTTGCTACAACTTCATGGACTATGTTTTGGGGGAGGCATTTCGATCACATCCGCCAGTCAATAGTACTTTCAGTCATGTCGTGTGTATAGCTCAAAATAGGCGGTGTCACACAGAGGCCAAAAATCCGGATTTTAGTTATTCTCTTAATTGCTGTCTGTCATAAATTATCCCACTAAAATTCCTCTAACGAAGCAAGAAAATTACTCAGTTTTTATATAGCGCTTATTTGAATCACTAAGCGCTTCCAAACTTGGAGATTATTACCCCGGCTTTAGCTGTGCTGCCATTGCGGCGCTCTAGCATTTCAAGGAATTAATTCCTGCCAGGTATCCATTTACATCACCTGGGTTGAGTGTGGTAAATGTTGATGGATGGTTCGGCTATTGCGTCATCTACATGTCATGGAATATTATTAAAACAGAAGTTGTTTAAAACACACGTCATACATGTATATCACACGGCAATGTCGTTACTGCGAAGGCATGAGAGTCGTATAAAAAATACCCTGATTAAATACTCAACCATATTTTGCCCAGCAAAATCTATACAAAATCATCTACCATATATAAAAATATCTTTTTAAAATAGTCCAACTTTTGGTCAGCAAGACAAATGGTAAAAAAGTAGGTGCATGATTGTGGTGAATGGAATGAGGCACTTTCGTAATTCTTAAATTTGATCACTCTGTTTCAATTACAGGTTGATGATTATCTTAAGATTTATTGCCTATAAACTCGCGATTGATTTAGTTGCCTGTCTCTTATTGAATTCACACATTGAGAATACTGTCATTAATTTTTAAAAAATATATTAAAAAAAGTAAAATAACATACACGCGTTATAGCCCAGCTCGTACTTCTCAGCACTATAGCATGTAAACCCGAGAGATTTACTCTGTTAATAGGTGTATCATCCGTTTATTCTAGGATTAAAAACGACCTCGATTTTGCAGAAAATTGAAGTAATTCAACGCCCCCGCCCCCCCCCCCCCCCCCCCCCCCCCCCCCCCCCCCCAATGGTAAAAAGCTCCATTTTGAGTATTTCCAATGAGGTTCATTTTGAAAAAACCTTACTTAGGTTGTTTAATTTGCTTCCTTCCCATATCAAGCACCGCACACTTCTTGCTAATCCGATCTCATCACAAAATTATCCATTTAATACTAGATTTTGCTGTGGTCCTCGAAATAAAGGCGGATGCCCCCCCCCCCCCCCCTCCCCGCGAGAAAAGAAATGTATCGCTTGTCCGTTGATTTCAGAAAAGTGATGTGTACTCAATTTTATGTAGAGTGAACACACTGGGTATACTTGCGAACTGCTGTTCCTCCATAATCTATAAAAGGCAAGGTTTCTGGCGGGCGATTCTTCTTCCCAAAGTTTCAGCCCTTCTTTACTGTATTGTCAAATATTACCCAGGCGGTCACGCGATCCCTCTCTTGCACTTGTTGTGAATGGCGTTCAGATCTCGCGCAACCTCGAATAACCCTTGGTGCACACATGAAGGCAAGAATGCAAGAGGCATGAAGGCATTCTAACAGAGAGGTGAGCAAATGCATTGTTCTGTGTGAATTATTCGCACTTGGACTCTACTGTAGGCATAGACACTATGAATATTACGGACAAAGAAAGCGGACAAAATATACAGTTCCTCAGGTAGATAAAGGAACATTCCTTCACTGCTATTATGTAAACAGGTGAATATGCATGTGACACCTGCTCTACACATTTTTACACGATAGCAGTGAAGGGATGTTTCTTTGTCTACCTGAGGAACTGTATATTTTGTCCGCTTTCTTTGTCAGTCATGTTCATAGTGAGATATGTGTGATAAAAGAACGTATTCACCTTCAAAGCAATTGACAGACGATTTTCTTTCTTTGTGTCTTTCACCCACCCACAAGTGCTTCCGTTATACTATAATAATCAGCGCATCAAACTGCAGAGAAAAAGAAGGCAAGAGGCATGAAGGCATTCTAACAGAGAGGTGAGCAACGGCTAATAGCCACTTCGGAAGAAAAGGAAAACGTTCATGATGTCAGTAACTTCACATTATTGCTAAATTTCAGAACATACTCTTCGATAAACCCTTTTACCCTGTATATTATCCTCAAAGCGAGGAGTCCTATTCAACCCTCTTTACATCGTGCATCTCTGCTTGTGGTGACGGAGTCATTCTGTTCTTCGATGTCTTTGGAACTTCTTCTGCTGTCCAGATACCCTAACACTCTCCGCCCTGCTCTAGAAACCCTGTCCTGGATAAGGGCTATGCACATGGATGTCACGGCAAGACCGAATACTGTGAAAAGAAGGCAGAAGAAGAACCGACTGTTTTCATACTGAACCTCAGGGACAATATCACCAAAACCAACTGTCGTAAGCGTGATGAAAGTGAAATAGAAGGCTGTCCCATAGTCCCAATTTTCTACCCAACTGAAAGCCAACGCGCTTATGCAGATATAAGTGGAGAGAGTACAAAAAACAAGTAATAACGAAACTTCGTCAGCAGGGTAGTCGTCCTCGTCATCGTCGTTGGCGAATTTATCGTTTTTACGCTCTCTTTCAGGATCTACCGTGGTGTCTTTGGTCTGAAGATGTTCCTTTTTCTCATCAAAGGTAGTAGTGCTGGTGGTGACGTTGCAGTAGGGTGTCTCGTCGCAGATCGCCGGACAGGACTGGTCGAGTGCTGAGTTGTTCGTGTTCGGCGATGGTGCATCCTCATGAGTTGTACCAAGAACGGTCATACCGATGACCCTGTCGTTGATCTCTCTTCGTTCTGAGGCATCCTCATGGTCCGCGCTAACCCGAACGGACTGCAAGTGCTTCATGGTGACGATTGGCATCGCGCCTCGGAATCGCCTCATCGGGGGGTTCTTTGTGGTCTTCCGCCGTTGCGTTTGCGTTGACTTGTTCTTCGATACCCTCTTCGTGCTTCGGCAGAGGTTGAACCATCGGATGAGCCTAATGAAACCTAAAGCCAGTAATTGACCGATGTCGGCAAGGAGGAAGAACGAATAGGGGATTCCAATCGCAGAGTAGATGACGCACACTGCTTTGCCTGTTACAGTCTCTGGTACCAGATCACCATATCCTGTCAACGGGAATGAAGGAAAAAAAAGATACTTTTAATAGAAAAGAAGCTCTCTTCCAATAAATAGTTAGTGTACATACGTTACCGGAAATCATAAATAACACTTATTACATGTATTTATCTTGCTGTCCGAAAAAACACGTATTTGAGCACTACGTCTGCTTTGAACTTCTAGGCTCAAAACAGACGTTGTTTAACCCTTACCCTGTTTTAAGTATATGAGTTAACGCATTCTAAAATTTAAATTAAAATTTAAAATTAATATTCATTATATATTCGGAACTTTGGTATGAATTCTACGAATAATTCATTTACAAATAAACATAATCATAAGCGGAAACAACATGGTTTTAAAATTTGCACGGCGATAACATGATAACTATGAATGGGGTATAAGTATATAATAATCAATTCTGGGCCCAGACAAACAACAAATTTGAGTATTTATTCCTATTCAGAATGGGCAACCACGATATTAAAACCTGAGGGTTTTGCACAGTGACGCCTTCAAAGAAAACCATAGATATCTTCGTGGTTTGAGAATTTTGTCAGGGTTTTTGCATGTCAGAGGGTTAGTACAGTACAAGGAATATAATAAGTAACATTTTATACACAAATTAAGCAATTTTTTTCATCAAACTTCAACGATGTTGCCGAGTCACTTTAAACTATCAAAAATGAATCATATTATCATAATCATTTCACAAAAAGAGGTAAGAAAAATTAATTCAAACTAGATAGGCAACAGAGTACTTCCCGGCCCCGAAAAATAAATTAGCGTGGTCGACGATGACGTACCGATTGTGGTGATGGTGGTCATCGAGAAGAGCATGGCGCTCGGGAACGACCAGTTTCGACCGTCCATCAAGGTCTTCTGTCGCCCTGCCTTCCAGTCGGGATGGTTGACGGTGTCGATGAGGGAATCGAGAAGGGCGGTGATGTTGCCGTCCTCGAGTTTGACGATCCCCATGGAAGCATTGTGATAGGCCTCCAGAATGATCTGCTTCGTACGTAATGCCTCTGCCATCTGCAAAACACAAATTGATAAATCATAATTGTTGACGAATCCAGGATTTTCTGCCGGATTTGGGGGCGTAAATCTTTAAACAACTCTGAAATGTAGAAATACGATGAACGTTTTTTGATCATTCATTGTACCTCACTGTTGTATCATACAAATAAAAAAAAAATTAAAAAAAAGCATGTGTATGCTTGTACGTAGGTAAGTAACCAGGGGGTCGACAACTTTAAGTCTCCTTCGAGGGAGTTGGTAATGAGGATGAATGCCTTACCAAAGGGCACTTGCGAATCGTTTTGGTTTCGAACCTAGGTCCTCCCAGTTACGAGACCACCGCTCAACCACTGAGCCATGTCGCCTCCTCACATTTACACTAGAAAGTTTTTTTCAAACCTAAAACAAACTCTTTTACAACCGTCTACAAGCAGAAAATAAAAATCCATAATTTGTCTAATATAGGTTTTATAGGTTCTACATTAGGTGCCTTTGGGGTATAAACAAATGTGGGGGCACTATAAGAGAAAATCTTTCACTTAATGCTTGCTTAATGTATGCTAGATTAGTTCCATTTTGCCGGAGGTACATGCCCCCCTCCCCCTTGATCCACAGGGGACATATTATATATTACAATCGTCCTGTTGAATTACATATTATACAAATATACACTGCCTTGAGAGGTTCTGGTTAAAACTATGCGCAAGAGGTGACTCCAATGGTACTTTTGGAGTCACCGAGGCCTATAGTTTAACCAGTACCTCGAATAGAAGGCATGGTATATTTGTTTTATATCCTGCATCAAAAAATTATTTTAAAAAAAAAAAAAAAAAAAAATTGGGGGGGAAACAAAATTTTAGAACAAAAAAATGTCAATTTTTATCTAAAAAGATTTAAAATATTTTGTTTTCATTAAATTAAGATTTGAAAAAAAAAATTGATTCAATTAAAAAAAAAATTCAATTTTTTTTTTCAACTCCAAAATAGTAAACCAAAATAGTACTCTCATATAGTACTTTCTAAAAATAGCTCAAATATTTTTGGTCATGTGACGAGCTCTCATCCAATCAAAAACCAACAAATTTTTGATGCAGGATATAATACATATTATATTGTGCATTATATATGAATAATAATTATTTAACAAAACATATGTACTACGTGCTTGTAGTTAAGCAACTCATTGAGTCCTATCCGAGTAACTCAGTAGGGTTAACAATGACCATAAAACCATATAACAGTAGAGCGACACCGGTTCTCTGAAACCATTCGCTTGATTGATTGGCTGATACACCGGTTGCTTAGTCCACTAATTGATTCACAGACATATCGATTAGTTAATTGGTCGATTGTTTCCACTTATCTGTTTTAATGGGTTCCTTCATCCATCCATTTATTCATTCATTCGTCCATTCTTTAATCGTTCATCATATTGACGTATTTCAAATACGTCAGCAATGGCCTTGGTTTGTTTCTCAAAAGAGCAAATATTTGAATGGTATCTAAACCAGTACTGCCCTCAAGGCCAGTATTCAGAAAAGTTTTTAAAGGAAAACAGTTATCCTAAAAAGTTGCTGTCAACAAAATAGCGATAAACAAGGTTTGAGGAAAATCAAGCACCAAAGGAGGAAAACTTAGGAAAAGTTTTTTGTATCAACAACTATATATTTTATTTCATATAAAAACTTATCGAGACCAAATACCATGGCCTTGTAACACAATGAACAAACAAAACCAATGTCATCATACATCTTATTTCCCATTTAATTATCATTTCACAACTTTATTTATTTTGTTTATTCATTGTGTAGATAGTTTACAGTTGTTTGTACAGTCAGCGTAATGCGATTCAACACTTGCCACTCCATTATTAGTGAATTAATTCAAACCAGATCTGACTCCACCTTTGTGAATAAGCGTTATCAATACTGTTCAGTTCAAAATTTAATTTGGGCAACGGTTTGTATGACGTTCTGGGTTGCCTGGGAAATTATCACACCGTCAACAGTGACGATGAGGGGGTAGTAACTCCGTGGTAATATAATTTAGAAATTCCTGCTTATTATAGTTACTGGCGTTGATTTGCCAAGGTTTTTGTCGATATCAACATTTCAGACATGACTTTGAAGAAAAAACTGTTTAGATAGGTTCTATAATTATATCTGATATTGAAACTCACGAGCACTAATGCCATAATGAGGTGCTATATCAGCGTTTTCAACCCTTTCTTATAATCATTCACCACAGAAAGATTCGTTTTGCATCACTCTGGCACTCTTCAAATGATGATAAATGCTGCAAAATACATGAATTTAAACAAAATTCAAGTATTCAAACACCTTGATACATGAATAAAAGGATATATTCCGGTACTTTGTTGCCCAAATGTGAAGGTATTCAGGCACATCGTTACCTGAAACCATCTTGTTTTTAGCTAACGAAGCGATCGAGTAAAAAGACACTCTATTATTTGTTTTACATAATATTTCCCGATGAATATAATACGAGGTCTCTAAAATTTTGTTTTCACGAAATTGACGTTATTAAACTAAATATATTTTGCCGCACCCCGGTGTGCTTTACACACCGCCTGTCTGTCATAGCCCAATCGTAAATTCGGCTCGAGGCAAAAAGCATGTAAGAAATCATCAATTATCAATGGCTTCTTGAAATATTTAGTTCATTTGCATGATAGTCAACTTGAATAACAATAGCGGCGACATTGATATCAAGGAGGAGAGCAACTACAAACAAAATTAGTCCTTGCCCTTTTTCTCGGAAGAACTAGGGATGCAGAATTCGACTAACATTATTTTTTGAACCGGCTATGGAATTCCGACCTTTTTTAGTTGCGCCTCGTTATATCATGGATTGGTGTTGGTTATCTCTTTTCAAACGGAACTAAACGAGTTTCCTCTTGGTCATGAAAAGGCTTTACAATCAAAAGAATGCTGGCATGGGAATTACTTAAGAGAACCAAGGATAACCCATCTTCAAGTTATCCCATTCTCTTAAAGGCAACCGCAATAAACAACAAAAATTACGAAAATTACGATCGTGATCAGAAAGATTTTCGAAAAATTAACTTGAGTCGATTTCGATAGCCCTGTCTAAAAAACCTTTTAAAATGCACGAACATTAAAGTGATGTTTTTCGTAATTCGGACGTGATATTTAAAAATGAGGGCATTGATTTTTTTTTTATTGATTTTTTTTTTAATGCGAAAACCATCGCGTAAGGCCATCACTTCGAGTTTGTAACGGTATTTGAAGACATTCCTTGGAGTATAAGTCAATATTCTAAAAATCCATTATTATCATATTAGCTAAAAGTGTGTAGTGTATCAAATGATGTATCAAATGTCAACTATGCCGACTCCAGTCTAACTCAAGCTTATGCTTTCTCTGGCTGCAGTCGGGTGTGCAAACCATAAAGCTATGAATTGAGTCACCGACCTGTTGAATGGCCCTGTACAAGTCTTTAGACTTATTGGTCGTCATCACAGGTCATTCAGGTAATTCAGGTAATAGGCCAGTCTCCGGTTATGCAATTCCTGCTTCCTGCGATGTTCGTATTTTCTGTTCATCCAGTCATTCATGTTTGTTTACGTATGTTCATTTTTATATCATCTCATGTGACTTTAAGTATGGTATAAATTGTTGGCTTTTATCCGTAAAAAAATTGTCAAACGTCTTTGCGATCAATTATTCAACTTCATATCCTTAATGTAGAACATTCTCGGGGAATATCTCAAATCAATGCCATGTATGACTGTGAACTTCGCCCATGATTCTTCAAATATTGCTTGCTTGTTTGAATCCCATAAATGCCATGAGAGGTAACCGATCTAAAAACGAACAATATACCCGAGACATTCTTTAAAGGGATCCGGTAACTTTGTCTCAGATTCTGAAACAAAATCCTGGATTTAGCCCATGCTGCAATGATAATTATAAACCTTTAGGTCAGTCAGGAACCCCATGACTTTTACAAGCCGATCGCCTGTCTGATTATCAATATATTAATGATTGGAATTACAAATTTAAAAAAAAAACGTTTGCCAAACGGTTTTCATTAAACTGTAGTCTATTGGGGAAAACGAATATGATAAAAACCGGTCACTCAAAGATTTTTAATTTTTTTTAAGGCACTTCTTGATTAAATTAAAGCGCGATTTTTGTTTTAGGGCTTCAATATTACACCATATCACAGACACTGGTAACACGTAGGGTCGTGCATCTCAGATTTAACGTTGTTAAACGATGCCTTTAACAATGTTCAAACGCTCACTCGGAAACATCGTCAAACCATTCAATGATGGCAATCTAATCTAACTATTGCCATTGTTTTAAGTTGTGTGCAGAATTTCCGAGTACCGGAACATTGCCAAACCATCATCGTAACTATTGGCATATAAATAGTACAATCATTCCCATCAAAGTGAATACATTCTTATACCTCCATTATGACATGCTGAAATGTACTCTTGACATGATAGCAAAATGAAGAAGACTATCGTCTATCAATTATTGTCAATCAATCTACGTTAGAATGTAAAGAATAACATCCTAGACAGTTTCTCGAAAAAAATAAACGTTCGGTTATTGAAGTATATTAGGAATGATTACTGGTTTCCTAACAAAAATACTACTCGGTCTGAGAATACCTCCATATATCACCATAAATATTGCAAAGATTTTCCATTGAATAATTGTCACCACACATGATAATCTTTCTTAAAGTGTTTTACCCCAATCTGCAATTATCATCAAATGAAAAGATGGTCGATATGATTGAAAACAAGTTCGGAAAAAATCAACTGAAAGTAATTTGATAACATTGGGCCTAATTATTTTCTTTTTTTAATTAGCAAACATTACAATGTCGCATTAAATTATCTGACTATGATTTATAAAAGCAATACGTTGGCATTTCAAATTACTCATAATTAACTCTTGCTACCAATTGTACATCCAACATGGCATGTATAGACAGGTGGCCTTTATATAAAGCTGGCCGCTAAGACAGGTTCAACTGTATTTGCAAAAATCGTCTTACCTTTGCGTTTTCTTCGGCTGAGAGCTGATTATACATCGGCGACTCCAAGACCGAGAACACGACACCGCCGATGGCGAGATAGAGCAGGTAAACGCTGATCAGAATGATGTGCGGAATCACGTAGCGAAAAGACCGCACCAGCCCTGGTCGTCTCCCGGATGAACCCTTCGACGATGACGACGACGACGACGACGATGCCGAGGCCATGGTTGGGCTGCGATACAGCCCTGCCTGCTGGCTAACCAGGTTGATTTCGGAAGAAAATCTGTCCATGAAAACAGGGGATAAACAATCAGTTTAGTTGCTACTGAAATATCAACGTTACAATTTGAGGTCTTAATCGTGAGTTCGTACGCACCCTTAATTAGACGAATTAAGCACTCGCTTGTTTGCGGATGTGCCAAAAATTTACTTTGAAAGCAGCACAGCCGGCATATTTAAGAAACTTATGAACTCTTTGCTCAAAGCCGGATGAGGTAATTTTTACTATGCTTGAGTCTGGTTGTCTTAAAATTGAGAGATCCGCTTCTGAGTAAACTGTTTCTGAAGGAAAGAAGGAATCAATTCTTACTCTCTGAGAAGAATGTGTAGCACTCGGCCAACGTTAACAGAATGAGCGTGCATAAGGAGTGGCGTGAAGCCATATCTAGTATTTATACCAAACAGGTATTATCTGGAAAGTTCTTATGTCATAGTGTTCTGTTATGGTACATTTTTTCTCTACGTGTCTTGGCGGAAAATCAAGATGATAGCGTGTGAGTTTACAATAGATGCTAATCCCAATCGCTCTAGATCTCTATTTCTTAAGGCTATACTTTAGGGGAAATAGTTCTTACATTTTTCCGAGGCAAAAACAATATTTCAACTGGTGAAAATCGGGCAGAAAAGGGACCGTAAGTTTTCTTATTGTCCGGGGGGGGGGGGGAGGGGCTAACGAGTATCGGTTGGTCGACATGTTTTACTTAGTCGTGTATTGTCATATTTGTTAGGTGGGGGCACTGTGCATCCCCTAACCCCCTGGATCCGCTATATATTTGAGAAGTGTTTACTTGAATCATGTCATCATAATTCGAATTTTATGTAATTCATGTTCGAGTACATATCTTCAGATATTTATCACACCCCAACACGTGCTCCTTTTATCGAAACAACAAAGCGAGACAATGAAAGGATTATATATTCGGCAGAGAGGTATTTTATATCAACATGTTTTCTTTTCGGAAATATAATGATTTATCATCAGGTTATCTCCGGTCTTGGTTTTGCACTGATTCCGAATTTTATGTAATTCATGTTCGAGTACATATTTTCAGATATTTATCACACCCCAACACGTGCTCCTTTTATCGAAACAACAAAGCGAGACAATTAAAGGATTATATATTCGGCAGAGAGGTATTTTATATCAACATGTTTTCTTTTCGGAAGTATAATTATTTATCATCAGGTTATCTCCGGTCTTGGTTTTGCACTGATTCCGAATTTTATGTAATTCATGTTCGAGTACATATTTTCAGATATTTATCCCATCACAACACGTGCACCTTTTATCTAAACGACGAAGCAAGACAATGAAGGGATTATAATTTTCGGCGGAGAAGTATTTTTTAACAACATCCTTTCTTTTCGAAACATTTTCTGTGACATAAGCAATTTTTCATGTTATTGGTTAGAATAAAGAAATTGTGACATAATGCTTTAAAAATCATAATTGTCTTCGATCAAAAGAGTAACCTATCAAAGAAAGTATAATCCTTACATCAATAGCACATCGTTAGATATGGATATATAGCTTCCATATTCCTTTGATAAATATCATGCCTTTGAAATAGCTGATGAGTTCAGTTGACAACATTATACTTGAAAAGGAGAACAACATAGAACGACTAGCATATATATTTCCTCCGTTTGACCACTTCAAAGTCAATTTTGTTTACGATATTAAAAAATATCTTTAATTCTTTCGATTACGAATGTTTATTGTCGTATATAACACATGAATAGTATTACATCGATAAACCAGGAATAAAAAGAAACCAAATTTGGAAAGAAAAATACAAATAGTGGAAGATTCAAGAGAAGGAAAGAGGGTAATGACTATGTTGGAGGGTACTTGCTCTTCTTGTTGTTATTAATGTCGCTTCTATTGTTATTCATGCCGACCATCATCTTCACAACACGTTCTGGATTCATGCACGAAGTAGTCACGTGCGATCACACAACTATTCTAATGATGCGTAGACACAATTGTGTTTTCTTATAATAATCAGAAGCGCTGAATCATATTACCTCAGCCAATTAATTTGATGGGAAGGGATGGGAAGGGATGGGAGGTGGAGCGGAGGGGAGGGGAGGGAAGGGGAGGGAGAGGGGAGGGGAGGGGAGATTCACGAGTCCAAACCTTGCAATCACTGATAAAGACAATTGGATACATACCCCCCCCCCCCCCCCCCTCGTCGTAACAAAAGGCTGGCTACACAATGGATGCGAAATTCTAGATGAAATCTGGCATGTCCAGGTACAGATTATCAGATATCTATCCCACCCCCTCGTGTGCATCTTTTATCAAAACGACAAGACGAGACAATAAAAGGGATATATATTCGGCAGGCATTCGTTTTTACTAACATACTTTTTTGTTGAAGATATGAGGATTTATCATCAGATCATCTCCGGTGTTTATTTGCATTACTTTTGCATTCTACCATAACAGCTAGTTTTCTTTGACACCGATTATGAAACCGCAATATCGCCACAAATTACTGCAACATAAGCAATTATTCATGATACTGGTGAGAATAAGGTATTTTTGACATTTTATTTCCAACAACAACAAAAAAATCATAATTCTCGTCAATCACTCCAGTAACCTATTGAAGAAAATATGACAAGTAAAACCCCTTTCAAGCATCAACAATAGCATACCATGGACATGGATATATGGCTTTTATATTTTTTGATAAATATTATGCCTTTGACGTAGCTGATGAGTGCAGTTGACAACATTATACTTCAAAATGAAAGCAGCATAGAACGACAAACATAAATATTTCATTTAGTCTGACCTTTTCAAAATGAATTTTTGTTACCAATATTCAAAAGAATCATTTTAAAGGTAAAGACCAGTTATGGTCATGCGATTGCATTGTGAAAGAAATGTTGTGGAATCGATCAGAAAAGGTTGATCATCTAGCATCTAGCATCTGCAAGGTTCTGGAATCATCAAAATGATAAGAAATTTGGCCCATTCTTCGTAAAGTTACAAGCACTATACACAGAAAGATGTATATGGGACTAACCTATATCTCTCACAGACCATGAGAGAAACAAATTTACAAAATATATAAATAAATAGGCGGTTTCGCAGCAATTTTTTTATCATCATGTATTAGTCAAAACATATTCTTTCACATGATTGGTAATGAGAGCTTCCATTTCATTTTTTTAAATTGGGGTGTTTCCAATACTGGTCTTTACCTTTAACTTGTGTTGTTTCTATGCACACGCATGATCCATTCATGCGAAATTCAGGAAATGAAAACATACTATGACAATTATCCTGTAGGAAAAGGAATCTCACGAAAGTTTGTTTATCAATTTCTACTGCTTTTGTAATCATATAAATGAAATCGAAACCAAGATTAAAAGGAAACTGAAGGTAATTAGATCGCGTCCCCATGACCAAATTAATTTTGAACTGCTTTTTATTTTACTAAAATCGAAATTAAAATCGAAGTATACGAAACTTGATGTACACTATTCATCAGCAAGCCCTTTCCTCCGCCGTAAATCAGCATAAAGAAGACTATCCGGTAGCGTATTGGTGCAGGCTGACGACTCTCGTATGAGAGTTCACATCGGTGCGATCCTTGCTAGGTTCTTATTATCGTTTGACAAGGTGTTTTACCCAATAAGTCCATTTTTATTTCTAACGTCCACCAATATATGGCAACTTTGTCTTTCTATTTTTTAAACAGAGTTTGGTATGTCTTTAAGTGATTTATTTGTACAGTTATGCAAATAAGACTACTTACGAAGGAAAATCTTTATCATGTTAATGCCTTGAAAAAAAGATCTTTTACCCCTTTTCCTTCTCTCCTTTCTTGTACGACGTTCAATTATCTGTGATAAAAAAATACCAGATACAACTTTGAACGAATTTATCAATGCTATAAATGTTACTGATATCTAAACTACTCGATCTTATTTCCCTGTCGTGACTACTTTCATTTTACGTATACCTTGGTGATAGTTGAGGGGCGTATCTGGACCCTTGGTTGTAAAGGGGGGGTTGACGCTCTTGTTTTAATTGCTGATCCATTGTTGACTCTGTAATCATTCTTTGTATTGATCTCTCATTGCATCTACATGTATACTCTGTTTTTCTTTCCATTTTTTTTGTAAGAATTTATTTATATCATCTTTATTTCTGTTGGAGTGGGTGAGTTGCCACTTCTTTCGATCGTATTACGTAACACATGTCTAGAGCCAGATCAATAAACCAGGAATTAAAAAAAAGGAACCAGATTTAGCAAGATTATACAAACATCGGAAGATTTAAAGGTACTATGTCCCATTTGCAGCAAACATCAAATTCTGTAGAACTTTGCAGGAATTATGAATATTTCATGTATGTTCTATCTGTGAAATTTAAACGTTATCAGTGTCCTAGTATTCAAATCATGCAAGGAAATCCGTTTACTTTCTAGACTTCACTGCCAGGCACTATTGAGTGACTGACTGACTTCTTTTCTTTTTTTGATAATAACATACATAAAATGAGTTGTAGTTGCTTTCTTGCTTTTTTGTAGTTGCTTTCCTTCTTTTCATTGATGTCAATGCTGCTGTTAATTGGTGTTGACTATCATCTTTAAAACACGTTCTGGATTCATTCACGAGGTAATCTCGTGTGCGATTACATGACTATTCTAATTATGAGTATACATTTTGTATGTTTTCTTTTAGAAATAATCTGAAGCACTGAATCATACTATACCTCAGTCAATAATAAGGTGGATAGGAGGGGATGTGGATTCGACTGATGACCAGAACTTTCCATATTTTATGCTAAATTCTAAGAAGTGAGAATCATTCTTCTTCTTGTTCTTCTTCTTCTTATTCTTATTCTTCGACTTTTCCTCTTCTTTTTCTTTCCTTTTTTTTCGTTTACAAATAAGCTCAAATTCAATGTTTCTGGAAAACAAATATATGCAGTGTTTCATGTTTTTGGCAAATTGCAAAATCATTGACAATCTATCTTCTTCT